AAATGGTACCAGCAATATAAGTTGATATTATCATCATTATTATTGGGGCTGAATTTATATGTAAATAAATATTTTTACTGTGACATGATAAATTAATTTAGGTTAGTGATAAATTAGTATCAATCGATTTCAAATAAAATTAACTATATTTTATTTTAAGTAATTTTACATATTTTACCATAAGTACATATTTTTACATATTTCTCAATAATTTAATTTTTCTTACATATTTTGACCATTTGTCCATTTACGATTTATTAATAATTCAATACAGACAATTCCCATGTTTCCAAAATTATGTAAACAAAATAATACCAATTATTAAATTTAATCTGGTCAATATATGTTCGATATTTTGATGTTTTAATATGTTTGACAAGAAAAATAACTAATTTAAAGTTTATGACTCATAGAAGAAGCTGTAAAATGCATAGAACAAGTACAAAGACCTTTGGGTCTTTTTCAATCAAAGAAAAAATGTACAGTGTATTAAACAAAAATCCTGGTTTAAACTGCATAAAATTAATTAGACATATACATTGCAAAATTAATGAGGTAATATTGCAGAAAGAGTTAACTCCCTAGGACATTGGAATTATGAAATTTGCACCCATTACCTCTGTTGAAGTCAAGCACTTTTTTAGTCGGTACAAATCTGTGTTATGATCAAACCATGGATCATTTAAATTTGACAATTTGAGCATGTATGTGGTATCTCATTGCTTTCAAGATGAATAAGGTTCGATTTCATAATAATTTCTATTCAAGTGTCTTAAAGTTTTTCATTTATAAAGATATTTTTAATTACATATATATTTACATATTTTGGTTTTTTTAATACATTTAAATCTGATCTCTAATAATCATATAGTATATATATATATATATATATATATATATATATATATATATAATATATATAGTATAGTCTTATCGATGATAAACTGATTGTGTATTTGTAGATAATTAAAAAATTTTCTTATTATTATAATTTTAAAAATTAACCATGCACAAAAAAAAAACAGAGGAAAGAATTTCACCAAAAATGAAAGAAAACTTATTAGATTTAGTTATGCTATATAAAAATATGAATTAATAAATTATGGAAATTAGCTGTTGCAATAATTGTATCCATGGGATTGTTTTGTGCATAATCTTACAGCTAATACTGGAAATCTCCTTTTTCAAATTCTAAAAAGTTTCTCAATCACATTCCTAGTTGTTATTTGTGCTTTCTGAAATTATAATTTTATATTTAAATTATATATTATAATATAATTTTAATATTGTATATAAAATAAACTATTTTAATAGTTTATTAGAATTATTAATTACCTGATATTTTTTCTCAGATTCTGATCGTGGATTTAGTGAAAGTGTCAATAAATAATTTTGACATGGGCAACCTCCATCCCCAAGCAAAACATATTTGCCAAACTCGTTGTTTTCCAACTATGCTCGAAGCGTGCTATTATCAAATATTGTAGTATCGTGAATAGAACCAGGCCATCTAATACAAATTTAATTACATTTTTTTGATAAACATTTAATATTTTTATGTTCACACCTAATTATTACATGCTGATTTTGTAATTACTTGCCTAGCAACTAAATTAGTAATTACAAGATTACTAGTACATACAGCTTGTACATTGATGCTAAAATACCCTTTCCTGTTTCAAAATTGTTCTCCTATATCACTATTGGGTGATTGTATTTGAATGTGTGGGTAAACAATAGCACCTATTATTCTTGGAAAACCTCTCATTTTATAAAATCCTAACTGTATAGCGCATTGTTCATTTGTAGAGGTTGGTATTTTAATAAAGTGGTAATAATAAAGGCCGGAGCTTAGAAATTTTAACTATTATCAGCTTAATGATCTAGAAAACAGTAGATTTGAGAATATGCATTAAATCTCCCATTCATATACTTTATTATATACATTCATATACAGTAATTAAATATTTTATATATGTCATTATTAGGTTAAATAATTATCCATTAAGTATACTTGAAATGCTCCAGTTACATAATATTGAAAGGCTACTAATAATTGATTAACTAATGATATTACATGATTATGACACGTTTGATGCATAATTCCATCTTCAATTGTGTGTAATAATACCATAAATGTTTCTTGAGATAATCTGGAAAAAATTGTATTTTAAAATGTTAATAAATAATATACAAATTATATAAATATTTGGTATTTACTCACATAAACAGACATTTAAATTCATGATATTCAAAATTGTTTAACGCATTATACCTTTCATAGACCCTCTAGATTTTGAAAGTCTCGTAAATATTTCAAAAATTATTTCTTCATCAGATGAAATATGAATCATTTGATGAAGATAATTCTAATGAACTACTTATAATTATTTAATGAAAGTTACATGAAAATTATATACATAATAATATTTAAAATACATGTTAAAAAGCAATGACAATATAAAACAATAATATATTATATGTAGAATAGTAATATATTTATCAATATTAGATAATGACCCCTAAACAATGATAACCAAATTAAACTATAAATAAAATTTTACTCGGAGATAAATCAGCCTCTAATTTAACTGGTGATAAAGTACATTTTTAGCAATAAATAAAATTTTAAACAAGGTTTGTGCAACAAATTTTATTTTAAAGGTAGTTCAATGAGTTTATCTTCGTGTTAATATTTGGTGTAACCAGGCATTAGAGTACCTAATATTATTGTATTTATTTATTTACTATTACAACTTTTTTATAAAAGTATTTGTTGTGCCAACCAGGCAACTAATATAATTATCTTATTTTATTAAATGTATAAAAATAAAAATAATTCAAATTCAAATAAATTTAAAAATTATAAAAAAAATTTAAAATAAGGAAATTGAATTATTTACTTGATATTTAAATTTTTTTTTATTAAATTTATCTAATTAAACAGAAAGTGAAATTCAATTGAATTAAAATTATGTAATTAAAATTATTTAATTAATAAATTAATGTAAGAAATTTATAAAAACTAATTTATAATACACTGTATGAAATGGTTAGACATATTATGATGTATTAATGTCTGTAATTTTGTATTAAATGAGGAATGTGTATTAATTTTTTGTTTATTAAATTTAAAAACAAAAAAATTAAGCATATTAACCTATTGATTTGAATCATAATTTAAGAATTGTGAAAAATTTAAAACTATAGAATTGAAAGAAATTCATTGATAAATTGATTAAATTTATAAATTATAAACATAACTAAATAAATGTAATTTAAATTAATCTATTGATAAATAAAATTTTTTATTAAATTATGAAAAATAATAAAAAAATTTAAAATTATAAAAAAATTAAAATAAAAGTGACGTAAAATAAAATTTAAAAATAATGTAATTTTACATTTATTTAAGATAAATAATTTAATTAATAAATAATGTAAGAATTTCATAGAAGCTAATTTTTAATGCACTTTTTGGAAAGGTTAGAAAATGTATGAAGTATTTCAGTCCATAATTTTATATTTAAATGACGAATGTGTTATAATTTTTATGTTTATTAAATTTAAATAAAAAACAAGAAAAAATTTAAAATAATTTAATTTACATTAATCCATTGATAAATTAAATAAATTCATAAATTATGAAAAAATTTAAAATAATTTAATTTAAATTAATCCATTGATAAATTAAATAAATTCATAAATTATGAAAAATCTAAAATTATAGAATTGAAAGTGATTCATTGATTAATTGAATAAATTTATAAATTATTAACATATCCAAATAAATGTCATTTAAATTAATCTATTAATAAATTAAAAATTTCATAAATGATGAAAAATATAAAAATTATGAAAAAATAAAAAATATATTTAATTATTTACTTGATAATTATAATTTTTTTTTATTAAAATATGTAATTTATATAATTCAATTATTAATTTATTTATTAATTATTAATTAATTAAATTAAATTGATAAAATTAATCAAAATTGATATTCAATTAAATTTAAAATTATTTAATTTTTAATTTTTTTAAATTTCACTGTTTGAATAATTTTATCAATTTAATAAAAAACATTACAAATATCAAATAAATAATTTAATTTTTTTATATTATTTAAAATTTTCATTATTTTGACAATTTAAGAATTGTTTAAATTTACTGATTGATTATTTTAAATTACATCTAATTAGATATTTTCCTAATTTATAAATGTATTCAATATATCAATTGAATAAAATAAATTATAAATATTAAGTTAATATTTTAAATTAACTTTATTAAATAAAATTAAATTGTTAATTATTTTATTATATTTAAATTTATTAAAGTTGTATTTTTTTTTCAATTGAATAATCAAATAAATATAATTACAGATATTAAGTTTATATTTTAAATTATTTGAAAGTTTTTTAAATTTTAAATTAAATTATTTTATATTTCTTAAACTTTAATCCTATACCTTTTTTGAATTTTATAAATTTTTTATTATATAATTTGGATTGAACTATTTTGACAGTTATTTTTATCATGATTCAAATTAATGGATTTATATAACTATTTATTTTGTTTTTAAATTTAATAGTCATAAAAACTAATACACATTCCTTATTTGAAATTAAAATTACAGACCATGCATTGGCATCATTAATTGTCTAACCATTACAATCAGTGCAAATTAGTTTTTATGAATTTCTTACATTAATTAATTTATTATCACTTTTTGTTCAATTTTATCAATTTAATAAAAATAATTATAAATATCAAGTTAATATTTTTTTTTATATATAATTATTATATTTATAAATGTTGATTTATTGACTGCCATTATTTAATTAATAAATAACAATGTAAATCTTAGAAGTGATATAATTTCAAATATTTAATTTATAAAAACATTAATTAAATTATTTAAAAATAAAACATAATATTTAAAGGACGGTATATTCGAATAGTTTTTATTAGGTATTTTGGAGTTTTTGTTCTGTGTATTCAAAGAGTTTTTATTCGGTCTATTCAAATAGTTTTTCCGGTTTATTCGAATATAGTATTCGATATTTTATACTAACTACTGAATAGTATTCGATAGGGTAAATCACTATTAGCAATCAATAGCGACAGTAACGGGCAACAGCAGTGCAACAACAATTTGCGCATGCGCCGCTCGACACCAATAACCCAATGAGCGCGGTCACTTACCCCCACCACAGTCGAACCAATACGCACGCTCAAAACGCACCAGTTGCAACCGCCTCGCAGCGATAATTCTACGAGAAACAACCGATCTCTGTTGACGTTTTCGCGTTCCATTCGCGTTTTGCATTCCGTCCGCTGCAGTTTGTACGTGACTATACACACACACATACTATTTCCGGAAGACGGATAACGATAATATTTAATTATAATCAATAAGCCTTGAATTCTTCTGTTCGTCGGTTCGGTCATCCGCTACAACCGATCCTTATCCTCGTGTCTGTTTGTGCGTGGTCTGCGTGTTTAACCCGTCTCTACTCCGACCGCCGCCATGTTTGACGTTTTTGGCTCTGTCAAAGGACTGCTGAAAATCGACAGCGTATGCATTGACAACAATATTTTCCGGCTGCACTACAAGGCTACCGTCATCATCCTGGTCGCCTTCTCGCTGATAGTCACGTCCCGTCAATATATTGGTGACCCGATTGATTGCATCGTCGACGGTGTGCCACTCAACATCATGGACACGTACTGCTGGATTTACTCGACGTTCACGCTGCCCAACCACGTCAACGGCCGCGTCGGCAAGGACGTGGTCCAGCCTGGTATCCGGTCCCACGTCGACGGCAAAGACGAAGTCAAGTACCACAAGTACTACCAGTGGGTATGCTTCGTGCTCTTCTTCCAGGCCATGTTTTTCTACCTGCCCAGGTACATGTGGAAGACGTGGGAGGGCGGCCGCATCAAAATGCTCGTACTCGATCTCGACTGTCCGATCATCAGTGAGGAGTGCAAGACAGACCGCAAGAAGATACTCATCGACTACTTTGCCACCAACCTACATACGCAAAACTTCTACGCCATTCAGTTCTTCCTGTGCGAGCTTTTCAACCTTGTTAACGTCATAGCTCAGATATTTTTCATGGATTACTTCCTCGACGGTGAGTTCAGTACTTATGGCTCAGACATTCTAAAGTTCACTGAAATGGAATCCGAAGTCAGAGGCGATCCTATGGCTCGAGTGTTCCCTAAAATCACCAAGTGTACTTTCCATAAATATGGTCCATCCGGTTCGATCCAGAAATTAGACGGTCTTTGTCTTTTGCCACTCAACATTGTCAATGAAAAAATCTACGTTTTCTTATGGTTCTGGTTCTTGTTTGTTGCCGTGCTGAGTGGTCTGAATCTGGTATACCGTACTGCTGTTATGGTCATACCTAAATTCCGTTTACTATTGTTGAGAGTAAGATCACGTTTAGTTCCACAAAACGAAATAGAAATTCTAACTAAGAAATTCCAGATCGGTGATTGGTTTGTTTTGTACCAGTTGCGTAAGAACATTGACCCCTTGATTTTCAAGGAGCTTGTATCAGACTTGGCCAAAAAATTGGACGGTAAAGAAAGTGTATAAATGATAATCATGTAATTAATTATTAAATTAAACAGAAAAGTTTTTATCTTAGAGAAACATGGTTCATAGAATAGATAAGCAATAATTTAGACAATTTATTTTTTTTTTTTTTTGATAACATTTTTCACCACCCCATGTATACGCATGGCGTAAATTAAATACTGTATATTTTTTAAATTAATTTCTGATTGCCATTATTGGAGAACACAGGGGTAAAATTACCTTTAGGTATTGTGTTCATTATTCATCTTCTAGATTTTATTATATTTATTGAACATTTTTTAAAGCAATATATGTTTATAAATTGTACTGTTTACCCAACTAAAAATAAAAATTTAGAAATTAAAATTTTTGGTCACATTTCATTATAAATTAAGTATTATGAATATTGGTGCTGCGTTTCAATGCTAATCTAAATTAAAATATAAGCATTATAAACTTCATGTTTATTATTTATCTCTAATTACTTAAATTGTAGGTAGGTGTGTTTATTCCCTTAATAGTTTACTTATTATTGCATATATATTTATTGAAACGCTTTATATTATTTTAAGTTTATCAATATCTAATTATCTACAAATACAGGTTTAGTATCACTATATAAAGTTTTATAGCAGTTAATACTGTTCTGGTATTTTCAATAATCTAATATTAAAGTGTTTTCCAAGTCTTCCATTTTGAAAAATCTATGTGTTCACAAGTTTTTATTTATTTATTTCAATAATATTCTATATTCATTTTAATTCTTTAATTTTTTATTTTCCTTTAATTTGTTCATCAGAAAATGAATTATATTTTTATAATTTATACAATCAACCGAATTTCACACAAACATTGTACAAAATTGTCTTATTCTTTCGTATAAAATGTAAAAATATAAGTAAAATATTGGGCCTCGTGATTGTTATTTATAATTCACTTCTATAAAGTTAATCATGAAACATATATGTTATGCTAATTAGCTGTAATAACTAATTTAGACTTAAATTTAATACTGATTTTTTTTTTTTTTAGTTATTAAGTTGATATACACTTATATTATTATCTATATTATTTAAATATGTATGTTAGCAATGAAATTCCATAAGTGCCTTTTTTGTAGTACATAATATATAATAATTTTAATGATGTAATTATCTTGCCGAATTATCTTGTATGCTCAAAATTAATTATTCAACATTCCTTATTGATTTTTAACTATATAATGCCACTTTGTGTTTATAATGTTCCAAGTATGTTATAAATGCACACACATCTAATGTCAATCAAGTTCAATTTGACTGTTAATATAAGACTATTATATTCTATTTTATTCAAAACAATAAAAAAAAATACATTTTATTAATAATATAAATGGTGTTTGTTTGTTTTTTTTATTCGTACCGCAGTTCAGTTCACTAATCATTCAACTTGCTGCCGATGAAAACTGCAAATTAGTGTTGAAAGTATTTATTTTTCTATAGGTGTGGATAACTTAAATATATCATGTATGGATACTTTATATCAGCAGATTTACATATTTTGCTTTTTCTAACCTTCAAACTAAAATGTGGGTACATAAATAATGATTGAAAATGTTTTATAAATTATTTATTCACCCTATGGCTGTTATACTTAAAATTTAAATTAATATTACCACTGAATTTTTTTTATTCCTTTGTTGTTACTGGTCTATGGTTTTAATTTTGTAATTATAATCAACTACCTCAAGCGAAAAGAGTTATTTATAAATCTAAATCATAGACTACTATTATTGTAAGATTATTATGATTATTATGTTGTGCACTGTAGGTAAATAATGTGGTCTACTAGACCTTACAGTAAATAGATCAGTTTTTTATCTGTGGCAATAACTGTTCTTATCAGCAAAGAGAAGAAGCCACATATTTTCATATTTTTATATTATTACGACTCAATTTATCCATTGCAAGGAAAATATGTAATAAAACTTGTGTAATAAAATAAATGTAATCTAAAAAGTTCCTACTTCATTATACATTATTATGTAAAGAATGTATTTTAACAGTTTTGTGTTCCAATTACCATATTGAATGTATGAATTAATAATTGAGGGGCCTCAATGCAAAACGTACTTTTTACATTTTTCTAATTTTTCAGTATGCAGGCTTTCTGTTTAGGGTATTTTGAATTGGTGTAAAACACATCCAAGGATATTAAAAAAATTCTAAAAAATCTTCTGAAATTGTTTATATATGTATTAATTTCCAGTTTAATTTTTTTATTGCTATTTTTTATATTTAAAAAATTGTTTTTTGTAAACCTTTCCAACCTGGATATTTTCCAGAATAAGTACGTTTTGTACAACATTTGAAAAAAGTACGGTCTAGAAAAAAGATGCAGATTTTTTATTAAAACATACTATTTCTGTAAAATGAATATTTTACAAAAAAAAAAAATAGTTTAAAAAAAAAATGGAAAAAAATAAAGAATAAAATGGAGTAAGCAATGTTAAAGAATTAGTAATAATGTATAATGCAACATTTTTAAACTTGAGTTACACTTTTATTTATTTATTTATCTTGGTAAAACATCAAACAAAATAATTGTTATAATAAGCAGTATAACAATATATTTTAGTAAGATTTTTTAATATCAAATAAAATAATTATAGACTCAAAATGAGGTATTTAAATATAATAATTTATTAAATTGTATCTCCTTTTTATTCTTGACAATCTTCTTCAACTGTCACTTCATCATTTAAAATATCATTATAAAAATCTTTAGGATCGGTTGATATATTGAAATACTTTAACAGTTTTCTTACATCAATTACATCATTCTTTTTCTGTAGTTTTACATGACTAATTTTAGGTAGTTTTTCAATTAATCCTATATTTTCCAAATTTCAATTTTTTTTTTTTTTTAGTACAGGAACTCTAACAGGTTTTCCTTTATATTTCTGAGAAATACCAACAGTTTTTTTTGCCTTGGGTATAAGAAACACATTTTTGTTTATTCCTTTTTTTTTTGAACTATTTTTTTTTAGTTGGTCTTTATAATCCATATAGCCCTTATCAAACATTTTAACAGTAGAATATTTCTTAAAAACATGATAATAATCTTTGGGAGAAATTATATTTTCCATTTGTCTAAGGTCTTTTTCTATTCGACCAAAAACTTGGTCAGATGGCATTAACCATGTCCATGAACTGGAAAATAATGATTAATTTCTTTAATTATTTTGGCCTTAAAGTTAATAAAATACTAGTATACTTGTTGTGAAAATTCGCAATGGATAAAAAATAAAAAGTATAATAGTATAAACTATAAAAAGTATAGGTGCAATCGAATCAATACATAAACACATTTTAACAAATCAATAAATGAGTATAATATCGAAAATTAAAAGACGTATCGAAATGACAGAGAGTATTTATTAAAATATATGTTCCGCAGCATTAGGATAGACTATATATGAGAGGGTGTAATTATTACACCCTCTCATATATAGTATTACAATATATAATATTACAAGTAATAAGATTAGTATTGTTTGTGAGTTGCTTGATGTTATATCAATTGGTAAGAGCCAATGAGAATGCAGTATTTAGAAAAAATTGAAAGTAAAGTTGATTGTGCACGCATAACTTTCCACAAACTTAACGAATTTAAGCAGTTAATAGCTCAAAAGAAAGAGCTTGATCCACTGAGTATTTTGAGAGTGTAACGATCAAGATCCATTCATTAAAATAAGAGCTATGATAATTTGAATTGTTTGAGTAAGTGTGTTTCATAAGAAATGAACAGGGAAGAATCGCGTTTGAGTATAACTTGAGTAAGATGAGAAGTTAGAAAATTTCAATAATTGATGACATATCTGTGTCTAAATACCTTTCATTAAAAAAAAAAAAAAGTGAAGAAAATCGGCCGGATAAAACAGCCAGACGGACTGACTTAAGTTTTCATAAATTTTTTTAATATAGGTATAAGATAATAATGCAATTATTACATATTGGTTCTTGTTTTGTGCTGAACAGAAATCAGGAAACAAGTTGATAATAGTAGGAGGATTATTTTGACTTTGAAACTTTGTGTCAATAATTTCTAAGAAACTGATGAGTGTAGAAGCAACTTCATTTGGACCTCTCCCACTTTGAGTTTCAAGCCATGTGCACATATAACAATCATCAGTTTTGTTTACCTCAACTGTTACTCAACAATGTACAAATTCCTATTCAAAATGTTACTAAATACTTAGGAGTTCTTCTTGATAAAAGACTAACCTGAGCCCAACACACTAAAAAGAAAAGAAAATAATCAAATACAAGTCTACATTTCCTTCATCCATTATTATCTCCTTCAATGAGTCTAAAAAATTTAATTCTAATTTACAAGACGATTACTACCCCCTTTTGATCATATGGTATTCAAATCTGGGGCCAAGCTAAACCATATAATATAAGACCTACACAAGCTTTTCAATCTATATGTTTTTGACAAATAATTGGAGCCTCATGGTATATGACCAACAACGCACTATTTAAGAATCTAAAAACCTCAACAGTCAACGAAATAGCAACTCGTCACTACAAAAAGTTCAACTCCAGATTGCATTCAAACCAAAACCCTCTTATTTTCCGCGTGTCTTCTATAATCATTCCAAACAACCCTTCAAGAAGATTAAAAAGAAAATGACCAAGAGACGCCCTTGCCTAAAAAAAAAAAAAAAAAAATGTTCTCCATAGTATGAACTCAACAAATTTTTAGGAAGAGCTGTTGATGGACAGGTTTCCCTCCTCAAGATATACAAGTCATGTATCAATTATTATATTATCAAATTTACTTATTGTGCCACTTGTGGCATATAATAATAAAAGAACAAATAGGTATTAATATCATACATTATAATATTTAAATTTATAAAATGTATAATTTTATATATTTAAATATTTATAAAATTAACAAAATTAAATAAAAACGAGATATTTATCATGCTTTTATAGAACTGTAATAGGTACCTAATTTATTATGTATTTCTTAAAACATTTACCATAAAAATATTTAAAGAATTACAAAAAAAATCAATATTTTTTATAGTTTCCTGCGGAAATTAAAATATTAGATGGAGAATTTTGCATATCATATTTAATTTAATGTTTTGTGTAGAATAAATTTAAGGATCGGTAGTTTGTTGGATTTATTTTAAAATTTATATTTTGCAGTAATTCTAGACTGTCAATCGTATTATTTAATAATTTAGATACAA